TGAATAAACAGGACACAGCCAGAGAAGCCTTCCAAAAGCTGTGCACGTGTCACCAGAACAGCCAAGACATACCGACAGGACTTTTCTATTCAGATAACACACTTGTAAATGTGCAGCTGTTTCCACCGGCACTATGTCTGAAATCCATTACTGCAGGCGTGGTGCCACCTGTTCACTCCCCTCCCCTCCAGGCCATGTGCTTGTGGCACACCTGGGCAGGGTCTGCAGCAGGAGAATGGATCCTGCCACTTCATGATACAAGGTAGGGGGTAAAACTTTAGAACAGTTTTCCACTGCAAAATAAGTTTCCTGCAAACAGAAAAGTAGCTTTTTGAGGGGGGGGGGAGATTTACTGTCCCTTTTGCTTGCAGCAGTCACTTTCTACTTAAAAGGAATTTTGAGCAGAAGGGAGCATTCAAAAACATCATCTTCCCTGCTGCTGGCTGAAGTGATGCGTTTCATCATATGCCTCAGTGTTGCAAAGGTGGACTAGGTGTCTAGATGCTGGATTATTTGCCCAGTGGTAGACTAGGTGTCTAGATGCTGGATTATTTGCTCCAGAAGCTATAGCAACCCACAGGGCTCTCAAACTGTTCTCCTATGTGCATTTATTCTATGTTCAACAGACCTTACCCCCCTCCCCAGTAAACATGCACAGAATTATAGCATATGTGACCCTGCTCCTCTACCCCCTTTTCCTTTGTTGCCTCTTTGTGCCCAGAACTTTCTTCCTGCTCTGAATCTCTCAGGAGGCAGCTTTCCCCTGAAGCACCCAGCACAATCCAGAGGTTTTCATCACCTACTGAAAGGTCTAATAAGCCAGAACACAACAATCTGATTAGAGAGGGAGAACAGGAACAAAGCAAGGAAATATACATACGTCTTAGACACAAGAGCTCCTGACAACACATTTTCAGGCCAATGCTGCTCCAAATGAAATTTAAAACGAACAACTGATCAATCAATCAATCAATCTTAGAACTGCAGAGCTGTAAGGGACCCAATGCCACACTGAGCCCAGCAATTGCAACCTACATAATAGCACTGCTTCACATTGACTTTGGTATACTTCAGATATTTAGTTCAAGATTACTTTCTGAATCTGGAAAAAAAACCCACTATTTTTTTTCTGCCCTTTCTCTGAAGAATTACAGTAAAATTATACTGGGTCTACTCATTGAACATGGCATCCCATCGGTCCAACTATGTAAGCTTCCTGAGAGAAGGATCTTTCTTTTTACTTCTCTAAGAGCCATGCCCTTAATGGTATGAGATGTCATAATAGAAATACTACTATGACTTAAAACAGTAAACATTGGCAGCCCAAAGAGCAGCCCATAAGTCTCTGACGTGCTGAATATAATGGAAAGCTTTTAATGAAATTCAGCTTTTAAAAGGCAAAGCGCTTTAACAAGGGAGAAATTCTAACCATTCTAACCATTCTGCACTAAGGCTAGAACCTGTGACCTGCAACCAACCCCAAGTCGACCGTAAGTCCCCTTCCAGTTTCCCCTTGCTAGCAGCGACGTGAAAACCAAGATCTTTGCCGAAACTCCCGGGGAAAGGGCAGCAGAAATGTCTTGCAGCCATGCCATGATTCTGATCCAGGCTTGGCTGTTCCTCTGGCCTCCCTCAGAGTTTTCCTGGACTGCCAAGGCGCTTATTTTTCTCTCAGGCAGCCAACTCGAAAAGGGTGTTCCCTCATCTGAGCAGAGGTGAATGTCAGGCAGGCATAGGAAGTTTTATTTATCTGTTTTTAAAAATCAGATTTTTTTTTGTGTGTGTGTGTGTCTGATACAGAGATGGGTATAGAGATTCTACCTTCCTGTTTGGCAAAAAATATAAAGAGAAGTCAGCAAGGCAGCACAAAGACCGTGGGTGGCCTTTTCACTTAAGAGGCAGCTTTTATTAAACAAGGTGACATCTAAAAGGATACAGTACAAAATAAATTTGGTCCGAGGAGATAGCCAGGGGAGAGAAAGAACCACAAATACAAAGCATAAGAAAAGGGTGCGGTTAGAAACAGCTACGCTTTGCCAAGCCAGTCGGTCTCTGAGCGTCCTTCGTCGATACTTGCCCTGAGAGCCTGTGGCAGCTACGAAAGGCGCCGGGGCTCTATTCTCCGGTACCATAAAGCAAAGGGTTGGCGCGCGGGGGGGCGGCGCAAAAGGGCAGGTGGCCTTTCCTGAAGCAAAGACAAGACAAAAAGGGGAAACTCCCTCTTGCGCTCGAGAGAAAGAAGGGGAAAGGACCAGCTGGACTCCTGAATTCATTGCGATTCCTCTAGCTTCACTCCACAAGCGAAAGAGGGGTGAAAAAAAAGGGGGTCTTGTTAGTCACTTGATTTTTCTAGCTAGCGTCAGACTACGAGCAGCTGGGCACAGTCCAGCTGTGTTACAGTCTCCACAGAGCTCCCTCCTCTGCTAACCACCCTATTTACCCAGCCCTTGCCACAATCAGCTGGGGCCCAGGAGCAAGCAAGACAGGGGGCAGGTGGGGGGGGGCCTTGGGCAGCAAAATTCATTCCTGCTGGCTAGCCTTTCTGACAGAAGTTCCCAGGTTAAGACTGCTCACCCGCAGATCTCTGTTCCCCACATGACCACTTGCCTTTCCTTCTTGCTCCTTCTTTGCCACTTTGCCAGCTGGAGCTGGAAGGCATCCTTCTGCCAACATTTGCGGATCCAGAGAATTCAGGAGGTGGGTGAAGGAGAGTGGAGGGTTTGGGATGAAGATGCAAGGCCCCACCCTTCACTATAGGCACAGATCTGGAATTGCCACCGGGGTTCAACTGGGGGAGGCCCAATACTTTACCTAGCAGCTCCACCAGTCATCCCATTGACTTTTTTCTTAACAAGACACTAAAATAAAAGACAGGCATGACTGCCTTGACCCTGCAGTCAGCACGCCAACTTTGCCATATGGCAGCTCCCAGTGAGACAAAGTCACAGAGAGAAAGACAGAGAGAGAGGGAGGGAGGGAGAGGTATTATTCTCTCCTGGTGAATAAGTCTGCATTATAACCCTAGTCCCTTTAAAGGTCAGAAGGTATAGGAGGGTTGCCCTTCTCCTCACACCCTGCAGGAACCTAACAGGGTGAAGCTAGTGCCCCCCAGGCAAGATCCAGAGCTGATGTGCAGAAGAGCTGTCCAGCCCACAGCTTAGCGGGCAGAATCCTGTGGACTGGCAAGGGTCCTGAGCTTGTAAGGCTCTGAACTGAAGCTGTCCCAGAGACAGAAGAGCTTCAGCTAGAGCCAGGACGGGAGAGCCTTTGGGGATTGGGGGCTCGAAAAGGCAACCATCAAGCAAGGCGGGCCAGATGGAAATGTGAGAATTTTGGTCTGGCAGCCAACTTCATCCTCCAAGGAGGGGACTGGAGCAGCAGAAAGAGAGGAAGGTGGGGCAGGGGAAAAGGGTAGGTTCGGTGCTGGAGTGGGACTTGTACAGGCCTGAGCAGTGAATCCCTGCAGTGTTTGGTAGCTGTAAGGTCTGGCGGCTAGGGAGAGGCCGGGCTGCCTATGTGTTGCGGATTCCCAGGGCCTGTTCTAACTCTTGCCGTCTCTGCTGAACCTGTGGGAGAGACCAGAAGGGCAGCATTAGTGCAAGGGTCGCCAGAAAAGCCTTGAACGAAAGCCCCCGATACTTCCAGAAAGGAGTTGCAAAGCATGGCTGTACACAACTTGGACAGGACAAGTCCGCAGGCTGCGGTCCTAGCAGAGCACCCTCCATGGAAGAGGAGCTATTTTACACACTCCTCATGGGATAAGCCATCTAGCAGCCTCTGGAAGTGCCGAACTAGCACTTCCATCATGGCAGCTGCCCTCCAATACACTTAGAGGGCACCAGGTTAGAAACACCCCCATAGAAGTATAGGACAATTTCAAATATTCAGCATGCGCAACTTTTAACATCTCTGTGGTTTTGGTGAAGAAACACTCCCTCTGTGGAACGGCTTTAGCTCTGAATGCTCCAGGACCAAACATAAAATGGGAGAAGTCTGGAAAAGCCTCCCCTAGTTAATGGGCTAGGGGCAACAGGAGAGCTGCTGGGGCAACCGAGCAAGCCGGACTGAAGTGTGCTAACTGAGCACTGTGTAGAAATGATGGCATGTCTGCCTCCCTTGGGATGGAAGAGCTTACCTTGGAGTAGAAGTATCTGCACACAGCCTCCTGAGCCCATGGCTGGAAGTAAAATTCAGCTCTGCGCTCCTCCTCCGGGTTCCCAACCACATCGGTCATGGCCTGAAGGTTATAGAAAGAAGCCCCCAGTTACTCATCTCTTCCTCCCTGAGCAAAGGCCGAGGCCCTGCCTGGATGTATCAACAGTCTATTTCTAAATCTCTGTCTTCCCTAACCAGGTTCCCTCTAGTTGGTTTGGACTACAACACCCACCCGCTACTGCCAGGAAAAGCTGTGGTCAGGGATGATGGGAATTAAAGAGTCTAAAATGTGCTTTGGGGGGGGGGGCAAAGGACCAGGAAGACTACTGTAATGGAGAACGGTCTCTCAACAGAAGCTGCATACTGCCCCCCCCCCACTTGGCCCTTCCCAAACAAAAGATAACCTGTCTCCTGGGTTCCCCTCGGATTTCTCACCTTCAGGTCCCGACACTGAAGATAACCTGTCTTCTGGGTTCCCCTCACAGATTTCTCACCTTCAGGTCCCGACATTGGGACTGCAGCCAGTCATTGATGAAGCCTTGGGGGTCTCTGGCAAAGCTCAGCATGAATTCTCGCTGGGTCTTCAGCTGGTTAATGGTTTCTATGGTCTCATGGATCTGAGATGGGGAAAATGGCACAAAGAAACATTGAGGGAAAGGATGGGAACAGCCTGCTGCTGAGAGCAAGATTCAACAGTGCACCCACACGGCAGACTGAGTAAGACCTCTCACTCAGAACACCTCTTGGGGGCCGCTGATGACGTTTCCTCTCTGCTACTTAAACATTAAGAAACCACAAAAAGTAGAGAAGTATTAACTTTTGTGCTAAAGTCATATTATACTTCCTTCCTAGCCACTGTCTCCTGCTCTTCAGTTACTGCAAGCTTCTTGCTTCAAGCCCATTCTCTCCATGTATCCATGGAGCCCCAACAGTTTAATCGATGCAGAGTAAAACAACTCTTAGATCACGTTTGGGCTCCTCTCTCTCTTAAGGGACTGAATTTACTCAGTAGCACATATGGGTCCAATTGCAGAAAGCAGTACCAATTAAATGAGAAAGTGGGGCAAAAAAAATCAGACTGCAGTTTTGAGCACAGAAAAGTTTGAAATAGTGTGTGCACTATCCCCCCCCCAAAAAAAACAGCAAAGGGAGTTAAATTACACTAAAAATGCACATGTTCCCATGCGCAATGGGCTTGCCTTGAGTAAGACAGGATATGCAAGAAAAACTGACAGCCTGGAACAATACTTAACAGGGGGGGAGGAAAGCAACAGGGCTGGAATATTTTATGACTAACAACAAATGTACCAAACATCCTGGTGAAAGACCCTCTCCTGCTCTAGATAATGTGGGGGATCCTTTAGCAGTTGCCACAGAACCAGAATGCCAGTAACCAGGAATCTGTTTTGTTTCAACTTTAGAAGACTGACTGGGCAACCTTCCGAGGAGCTCTGAAAGGCTGCTTGCATGGCAGCAAGGAGGGAAATCCAGGTTAACCCCAGCGTTGCTACAGACATCCTAAAGGACAGAGGGAGAAGGACCTCTCTTCAGTAGAACTTGTTCTTGAACCCTCTTGCAGTTATCAAGGTCCTTGTGCTTAATTGTCACATGTTTCTTAAGCCATGAATTGTTTCTTGGTACATCGAAACAGTTTTGTTGCTGTTGATACAATGGGCTTATTTTATAGAGATACAATAAGCACATGTCAGGGAAGGAATTTGGGATTTTTGGGGGCTTCTTTTTGGACTGGAATGCTAGAACATAACATTAACATGATGCAGCTCATGTCTACAAACATGATACAACACTTTCAGAAATAAAGGGAATAGAAAGCAGCAGACACTTGAAAACTAACAGCTAAATCCAATGGTTAGTCCCAACTGGGAAAAAATAATAGTCATTGTGTTCACTGGATAATTTCTACGGATCTAATCTAATTGAGACTACAGCTAGATTTAGTCCAAAGGATGTGTTATGCACGTCTGAGTGCATCAGTGTAGGGTTTGATTTTAAGTGCCTCCACATTAGAAGAGCATAGCTACAAAAAAACCAGAACCACCAATTCCGAGCACTCTCTGAATCACTAAACTTTAAAACAAACATCTTCTTCTCCTTTTGTTTGCCGATGACCAAAATCCTATTACTTATACATGCCAATGTTAAGCCACACAGTGTAAACTGTTGTGGCAAACGATCATTAGTTAAGAAGTTGAGGCTTGCATTTCCCATTGCATACATGGTCCATAATGAGAAATATAAGTGCTGACTTCTTATTTAGCAACAATTTGCAGCAGTGATATACACTAGGGATGCAACATTTGTAGTTTAAGGATTCCCCCTCCCATAAGTCAGCAAGAACCTCCAGGCTGAATTATGGGAGTGCAAGCCCTGACGTTGGCAGGAGACAAAGCTGCCCTCTCACCTCTCTGCAGTTCTTTTGCTGCTCTCCTGAGCAAGAAGAAAAGCCCCCTGCTGCAGTGCAGAAATCACAGAGGTACCCTGCAACCTTCCAAGCCACAGGGGAGGGCAAGTTCCAACAAAGGCTGCCTCTGCACACTCTACACGGAGGCAGCCTCCATCCGAACTCGCCCTCCCATGAATCTCTGCGAGCCACAGGGGATCGTGTGACTCCTACATGGGGTGTGTGTGTGTGTCTTCTGGCTCAACAGAGAAGCTGAACGGGGGGAGGGGGAGAGATGGATGAGAGATGACCGAGTGGGGCTCTATCGCCTGCCAGTTGGAGGGCTTTCATTCCCCTAATTTGGCCGATTGGAAGTCCTTAAAATATGAAAGTTGCACCCCTCATGCATACTGTTTCTATGCCAGCATGCATAAGTAATAGGATTCCGGCCACTCTTTCATCTAGGCATACAACGCTTGCTATAGTAATATTAACGGACTGCTGTGCTTGTTAGACGAGCTTGCTAGCAATTTGTCTCCCGCACTACAGTGCCACAACGGCTTCAAAAGCTTGGAGCTAGAAACCCGGTAGGGAGGAGGGGAAGGTATTACTTCTCAAACATCTCACATACATACAGCACTCCGAATGCATTTTTTTTGGGGGGGGGCCATTCAGTACCAGGAGAGGTCCTAGTTCAAAGGACCACTTCCAGCAGCTCACACCTTATTATCTAGGGCAGCTATCTCCTGCTGACTGGCTGTGGAGAGCAAGAAGGAATTCATTTGCGTTTTCAGAGTATCATCCACTTCCACATCAATGTCATAGCAGGCAGTTTTCTTCTGGTCATTTGGATCAACACTGGAAAAAGAAGACAAGGAGACATAACGCCAGAGTACAGACTCAGTTCAGCCTGGCTAAGTCTATCCAACTGGCTCAGAGGCCTGTTTTAATTCCTTTCTTTCCTTGAAAGTGCTCCAGAATATTTTCCTCTCCCAGATAAAGCAGTACAGTGGCGCCTCGCTTGACAAGGATCTGTTCCAGCAAAATCACTGTAGAACGAAATAGTCGTGAAGCAAAAGTAAAAAACCCATTGAAATGCATTGAAAATCAGTTCAATGCATTCCAATGGGCGAAATATCTCAGCGTCCAGCGAAGATCCTCCATAGGGCGGCCATTTTCCAGTGTCTGTATAGCGAGGAATCCGTCCTAAAACACAGTGGGGAGCCATTTTGCACAGCAGGGAGCCATTCTGAAAACCCAACGATCAGCCGTTTTGATCGTCATTAAGTGAAAAATCGGTTCCTGAAGCAGGGAACCAATCGTTGTTAAACAAAAAAACCCCCATATAAACATCGTTTTGCGATCGCTATAGTGATCGCAAAATACTCATTGTTAAGCGATTTCCTTGTCTAACGAGGTAATTGTCAAGCGGGGCACCACTGTAGTCTGCTTCAATCTCAATGTTATAGAAAGACTATAATAAAACAGAGAATATTTCCCCATTGTAGAAATCAAAGCAAAAATTGTATCAAAAAGAGAAAATGTATCCCCATATGATCAGCCTGTACTGAATTTGCTAAGGTGCCCAGAAGATGCTCCATGAGTCTCATGGCTAACTAAGATTCTAATATCAAGTATTCCCTTCAGTCTTACCTGATGACATGGTTGATAATGATCGGTTCGGGCGGCATAAGCAAAGCATGAAGCCGCTGGGGGATCTCTGAGAACTTCATTCGCGGAGACTCAAATATCTGCCAGTTGAAAGGGAAAGGTTAGGCAGGTCAGGAAGAGGCGGCTCTTGGCATTCGAACCCCAAGCTGCTGCTGGCACTCCCGCTCCTACCTGCTGGAGGTACTTGTCACAAATGACATACTCCCGTTCATGGGGGTCCTGCAGCTTGTGAGTCTTGATGTATTGCCACAGGGCCTGGATGATCACTGGGCGTGTCTGGGTGTGGATCCCCAAAAGTCGAGCTAAACGTGGGTCCAGTTTGAACTGTGGAGGCTGCGAAGAGACAACAAACTCTCAAAAGGAGAATAACATCATCATCCTCCTTTCTCAAAAATAAAATAAATACAAAGGGGGCAACACTGTGATGTTCTGGGGTGGGTTGGGAAGCCAAGCATTTCACTTACACTTCCTTCACACAATTATGCATTAAGACTCACAAAGGAAGAAGATTATCAATGAATATGAAAAGCAGTCAATTCCAACAGGTCTAAGGAATGGCCTAGTTACAGTTCTATGGCATCACCACCAGTGCCTCCTTCTATCTTTCCTACCTGGTAGTCCAACATCAGGAGGACAGTACAGCGCACATTCACGTCACCAGGTCTTTTTACCTGGAAACCGTCAGTCTCCTGGGTGGTAGCAGTCCTATGCCACTAAGGGAGGGAGGGAGGGGGAAGACAGGTTAGGTGACTTGCATTTTTTGGAAAAAACACAAGAAAAAAAAAAGAGAGGCATCACAAGAATTGAGCCATGGGTCTTTCTGTACTTGGTCTTTATATTGTGGCTTTCTTATTCCTTGAACCCTAGAGCCTGGTTAAGAATTATTACAGGGTTTGAAAAGCTGAATGTGAGTGTATGAGATATATCTCACCTCCACCAAATGATTGTCAGGACCATAGAGGTCCTTGTCCAGTTCAATTACCAGAGACTTAAAGAAGGATGAAAATTTCCTCTTCTGCTTCGTGGCATCATATTTGGAGAGAGCAGACTGCAAAAGAAATGGGACAGCACTTCAGATGCTATCAGCAGTGCACACACACACACACACACAGATAGATCATTCAAGTGCCAAAAACTTAAGGAGCAACAGCTCCAAGGGACAGTGATTCCTTTCACTAAAGAAGATATAAGTTGCTTTCTATAACACTAGCCTGATCACTGCCTCTCACAGAACTAAAAATCATCCCCACAGGGCATCTCCAGCATTTTATAACACCATACCCTGGCACACTTAGAGTGCTGATTCTTTCAAAATTATTCAACAATGCCTTACTTACAAAGGTTAGGCTTCTCAACTTAGTGTCAATTTCACCCTCAGCAGAACTTGTCTTCTGACCTGAACATTTGTGAAACTGACCCATTTGATCACTGAAACTGACAGGTTGATTCAGAGCAGAGCCTAAAGGAGCTCTCTAGTAAACTCAGAGGCTGCTATAGTTTCACAGACTAGCACAAAATCTGTACCATTTCAAGCAAGAATCCTTAATTAGCAGGAGCACTAGATGATGCTAGGCGCAAGCAAAGAGCACTCTAAGGGCAGCCACAGTTAATACTTGGAATTGCTTGCTTCCAGACGGCTGCCGAGTCCCACAGCAATTCTCACAAAAAGGCTGCTTTGCTTGTGCTGATACAGCTGCTGACAGCGTTAGCATTCTCCATATTTCAGGATATAGTGGGCTGCGAATACAGTCTAGCTTAAGGAAAGAACTTGCCACTTGCAACAGTGCTCCATCTTACCTAGCTGGAGTAAGGCAGGGTGTTTGTAACACAGTTCTCATACAATTATTTTGAAATGCTCTACAGGCCAGCGTGGATATGCTAACCCTACCCCTCACTCACATCTTCTAGTAGTCGTCCTTCCACCCGGAGCTCCCAGGAGGCCACAGTGCCTTCTCCATCCTCTGCATCCGACTTGGCTGGGTTGAAGGTGTTAGAGATAAAAATGCGCAGCTTCCGCTTTTGCTGAAAGGGAGTAGCATCCAGGACAGACGAGTTGGAAAATGGAAAACCAATAATCCTAATCCTTATTATTGTACCTTGAACACTAATGAGAGCAGAGTGTGTGCCTGCATCACAATCACATTTGCATTTGGTGAAGTCTCTCATAATTTCCTAAGGACTTTCTAAGCTGTCTGTGCATTTTGAGAAGACAGCTTGCTAAATTCTGCAAACTTCTTCACATTCTGAACAAAGTCTGCCATCTTTGTCTCAGACAGCAGGTATTCAGATACATACAAGTGCATCTGAATATACTAAGAAAAATATATATCCACACAAATTTATCCTGTGTGTGGAACCTGAGCCTTATCGGCCAAAATCTTGTTTCTTAGCAAACTAAATCACACTAGACTAGGCCTGATAAATCAATGGGAATTAGCAAGTCAACTCCTCCGTAAGTTCTACTGATTCAAATGAACCTACTGTAACTGTGACTTACAATGGGAATTAGCAAGTCAACTCCTCTAAGTTCTACTGATTCAAACGAACCTACCGTAATTGTGACTTATTATGCTAAAGTAAGTCACATCTGGAGTAGGCCCATTTGAATCAGTGGAATTTATGGAGGAGCTGACTCGCTAAATCCCATTGATTTATCAGGCTTACTCTAGTGTGATTTACTACACTAAACAACAGGATTTTGGTCATTGTTAACATTCAAAATTTGTTGTATCAGGATTAATTGTCTATGAATCAAATATTTGCACCAATAGATGTATCAGACTTACTTCCTTGTAATTCATTCCTATGTCTCTGGAAACATGGGATAAAACATCCAAGAGGGGAGACAATGGTGATAAAACCACATCATTTGCTACATTTGAAGTGAAATAGGAAGATTAAAGAACAATAAAGTAAAATGGGGCTACTTTTTCTGTGATTGTGGAGAAATTCAGTCAATGCAGCACTTGTGTGTGCGTGTAATTTATGCCCCACCAGGTATACAAAAGAAGGTCTAGCAAATGGCCAAGATAATGCTATTGAAGTAGTCCACTTCCGGTCAAAAATAGTCTAATTATCGTACAACTTTAATTTGTTCTTAATTTTACCTATATTTAATATACACCAATAATTTTAAATTGTGCAATGTTCTGATACAGATAAAGAAAGATTTGCCACATCTATGTCGTTCTTGCATCTTACAGAAAATAAAGTACTCTAGAGAAAAGTCACAAGAGAGGAAAATTTCCCTTATCATTTGGTTGCAGAAGATATTCTACAGACCAGGAAAAAGGAACGTTCTCATTCATTAGAGGCCACATTCCGTTAGGACTAAAATGTCAAGGGTTACAGGCTGATGACATGCGAGTCTGATGGTGATTCAGGCCATTCCCTTCCATCTCTCTTCCTTTTTGTCCTTGGCAGACAAAGAAATCATGCAATCCTGCCAGAAATCCAAAGCTAACTTGCAAGAAATTGGCCTGGAATGTGGATATTGGTTTACATCCTAGAGGTCTCCCTGTTGTAGGTGCAGAAGAAAATATTAGGGATAAGGGAAACTTATTGGGTTTAAAGAAAATCTGGATGCTAGAAAATGAGGGCTATATGGTTACAAAGTAACTCGGGAAAACTCAAGTTTCTTGCTAGAGAGAATTAAAAGAAAACAGGAAAAGGGGATAAAGAGAATAACCAAACATTGAGTGTCCAATTGCATCTGTGGTGTAGGAGTCAGTGCACACAGAGGAATTTGAAATGAGAAAGTAGGTCTCAGTTAATAGTTTCTTTTGACTGAACTGCTACCAGCAGAACAAGTCACAGAAAGAATTCCATTGTCTCCCATTGGCTTTGCAAAGCTCCTCTTGTGCATAACACTTGAAAGCACATATAGGACTTTGACTTAAGGAGAAACTATTTTAGCAGACACAGTTTATATCAAAAGACCAGGGATGGTCTTTCCAACCAAAATGTCAATTAGCAAGATGATCCAGGGCTACAAATAAACTTAGTGGATATCAGACAGCAGCCAAATTGTATACTGTCTTCCTTCTTATTTATCTTATATGCAGAATACATCATGTCCAAGGCAGGATTGGATGAATCCCAAACCGGAATTAAGATTGCCAGAAGAAATATCAACAACTTCAGATATGCAGATGATACCACCCTGATGGCAGAAAGTGAGGAGGAATTGAAGAACCTCTTAATGAGGGTGAAAGAGGAGAGCACAAAAATGGTCTGAAGCTCAACATCAAAAAAACCAAGATCATGAACACTGGACCTATCACCTCCTGGGAAATAGAAGGGGAAGATATGGAGGCAGTGACAGATTTTACTTTCTTGGGCTCCATGATCACTTCAGATGATAGCAGATGGTGATAGCAGCCACGAAATTAAAAAATGACTGCTTCTTGGGAGGAAAGCAATGACAAACCTAGCCAATGTCTTAAAAAGCAGAGAAATCACCTTGACGACAAAGGTCTGCATAGTCGTCTTAAAAAACAGAGAAATAACCTTGACGACAAAGGTCCGCATAGTCAAAGCTATGGTTTTTCTCAGTAGCGATATATGAAAGTGCTTTTGAATTGTGGTGCTGGAGGAGGCTCTTGAGAGCTCCCTGGACTGCAAAGAGAACAAACCTATCCGTTCTGCAGGAAATCAACCCTGAGTGCTCAATGGAAGGACAGATCCTGAAGCTGAGGCTCCAATACTTTGGCCACCTCATGAGACACCCTGGAAAAACCCCTGTGGTTAGGAAAGTGTGAGGAGAAGGGGACGACAGAGGATGAGATGGTTGGAAGTGTTACCGAAGCTACCAACATGAATTTGACTAAAGTCTGGGAGGCAGTGGAAGACAGGAAGGTCTGGCGTGCTCTGGTCGATGGGGTCACAAAGAGTCGGACACGACTTAATGACTAAACAACAACAAAGTCCCCCCAAAATTCCATCCCTAGTGGACACTCTCCAGTACCTTAATAGGGCGTTTCAAGGCCTCCTGGATATCCAACCGCTTCCTCATAATGGTTTGGTCCAGCTTCCTCTCAAATGCCAACAGATCCATGTATGCCTGAGATTCCGGTACCAGTTCCCGGATCTATAACAGAGCATAACCATAGTCAACCAAAGTACTCACTACTTCTATTAAAACAATGTTGACCACAGATACCTGGAGGTCTCACTCACCCGCTGAGGTAGAATCTTATCTGCCATCTTCTTTTTCTTGGCACTGTGCAAGGGCAAAAACAGGAAAAGGATTTTAAGTAAAGCTGGAACACTGACACAAACATAAGAAGGATTTTGTCAATCTAATATATTCTGGAACCATACATTCTACATGATTCATGAGATAGTGGAACATGAGCATTACAAACAAAGAAGATTCCACTGTGATGCCACTGCAAGAGAAGAAGAGCTTCTTACTTGTGGTTACGATTCTGAACTGACTGCTGCTGTACTTGCTGGATCTGCTGAGGAGCTGGCCTTTTACGAGACTGATCCATTCCTGATTGAGCCATCCCAGGTCGGACTGAGGGGCTCCCGCCATACCCTGGAGGTCCCATTGCAGGTCCCTGAGGGTTCATGCGGCTGCCAGGCAGCATGCCAGGGCGCTGGGACAAAAAGCAACACACAGGAACAGGATTTCTGAAAAGCCCGAATCAAGAAATCTATCTCTTCCCTTTAGCGAGAGAAACCCAAAGCCTTCCATTTCAGTTGGGACCATTTTTATTCCTAACTGCACAGAATTTATTACAGCTAATTTTAGAAAGAAGCAGAATCAAGCGCTACAGCTTTTCTCAGTGTTTCATTACATCATGCAGAAGGAGGGCCGAACCTCTGAACACAGGAGTTCCTACAGATAAGCATTTTGCACCCAAAAATGTATCATTTCATAAAAACAATCTAGACTCTCCTCCTCCCCCCTTCAGTGACAGAAATACTCAAGCATGCAAGTTGTGTCACCAAAAGTACTGTAATCCGAGAAAAGCATTGTTATTTGATTATAAACCACAATCAAATGAAAAAGAAAAATGTTGTGTGGGCCTGCAACAAAACCCATGCACCCTTGCAGCTGACTATTGCAGCTGAATAATCTGACCTTTGCACGTCCATCCTTTCCACTGTCCCACCTCCCAATTTGCTCCAGAATCTCATATTCATAAACACAATTGCGACAAAAGTAACTATTTTAACTCTTCCCCTGCTCCTTTCGCGCCACTTGAGACTTATTTAAACACAAAACAATCCAGCCATTGTATCAAGAAACAAGGAAGAATAAGCCATAAACCAAAGGGGGGGGGGAGAAAAGGAACCAGGAATCACACAAATAATAAAATGAATGAATCATCATGAAGCCCGCATCTTCTTTCTTCTTCTTCCCCCCCAACCTTCCAGCCATCTCGCTTCCCGATCCCTCTAAATACCAACAAAACCCCAATCCTAATCCTAACGTGCGCCCCCTGCACCTCCCGCCACCCATCCTTAAAGCCTCACCCCCATATTTCCCTTTTATTGGTCCAAAAATCTTATGGCCTGGATCCCTCCTTTGGTAGCTCTCTTCTGTCCTCCATCTTTCTGAAATGATT